ACTAATTAATGAAGTTAATTAGTCAATCTGGGTCAATTAGATAGTTGATTAGTAGGGCTGGGCATTTGATCGATTAACATACCGATTAATCGATTAATGCTTTAATCGGGATTAATTTTTTTTAACCGGTTAATCGGTAATATTTTAACGAACCAAAATCAAGTAAAAAGTAAACGCTTTCACCATGCAGACGTGGACGAGAACACCTCTATGAAGGGCAAACTTTAGGTCAGAATTCAGCCTAAAGTAAACTGTAGGGGGAAAATGTGTAACTCCTGAAAAGGTGCAGAAGGTTGCACTATTCTTGGCCACTTCAATAGCGTTTGGGTGTCCGTTTAGCGCAGCAGAGAGAGACTATAGTGTGATCAATCAAAGGAGGTCGCTCTTGCCGGGTAATATCACCGAACCTATTACCTCGTGCAGCTGAAGTAATAATGCGTCAGTGCCTTCGAACTGTTCTTAACTACTCGTCAAGGTTGATTCATAATAAAACTTGCGTATTAGGCCCTTTACCTCATGTTCAGCAAAGGCAAAAACAGAAAACAAATATTAATGTTTGACTTTTTAAAAATATTATGCATGTCAATTAACGAGACCGATTAAGTGATTAATTAATCGAATAAAGGGTGGCGATTAATTGGGTTAAAACTTTTAATCGACGCCCAGCCTTACTAATTATCTTTTCTTCATTCGTTACACTTTCGGCTGACAGTTTTTTCTCTGAAAAAGGTTTGTTTCTCAGTCATTTTTAAGGAGTTTCTAAGCTTTTGCAGACACTCCCGGTTTATAAAAAAAAAACAAAAAAACTTTTGTCTCTCACCAAAATTATAATAATAGCGGGAAACAAAATGCGGCGATGGAAAGGAGGGGGGGGGGGGGGGTGCCTTTAGAGGCATTTCGCTGCTTAGAACAGCACCAAACACATCAAGAATATATAATAGAACGGAGATATGGCCTGAGGAACTGCGGGCAATATGCCCTCCTCTTTGGCGGTCGTCTGTTTCCGGGCGTCGTTATTCTGTTCGTCTAGCCGTACGTTATGTCACATGAAGAATTCAGAACCGAGCTCGGGCGCCCAGAGTTTCTCGGGTTAGCTCCGCGCCACTCCCTGAATGGCAGTACCGCCTTCGGTCACGTCTTTGCACTCTCGTGACTGGAGAAACTTCACCGCTCCTCTGCACCGCCACTATCTGAAAAGCTGAAGATACCTGGCCTCTGCGTCGTTCGAAAGCGTGTCAGCTATACTTGTATTTACCTCAAGAACTCTAGCCCAAAAGAAGAAAATTTTCCCCTTAGTCTGCTCCATCAAAATATCTCTAGGTGCACCTTCGATTATATTTGTGTTATTTTATTAAAACGTATACCTTTCAAACGCCTGAATTCTCCGTTTTCTTTTTCTTTTTTTCCTTCGGCAACTAAGTTTTGTTACGACTACTTCGCCCAACGCATAAATAATGAGCTTTTTTTTTTTTTTGCACGTGACATTGTGTACAGGGTCCCATATCTCTCGACATTTGTTTGCTCTATCTAGGCGAGTGTTAACTTGTAGCGGCGCGGCGTGGCTTGCATCATGAAACCTGCAGAGCCGTTTATGTTGCATCAAACTTTACTGCGAGAAGCACATTCCCCTTGCTGAAAAACTCACGAAGAAACAGAACGCGCATTACAACGTCGAGAAAACCCAAAACCGCGAGGGACGAAAAAAAAAAAAAAAAAAGGGGTTTCCACGACGCTCAGTTTTTTTTTTTTTTTTTTTTTTTTAGTCTTTTTTTTGTCTTCTTTTCTTTCTGCTAATTAGATTACGCCGAGCCAATCGCGCGTGACCGTCGGAAGGCGTTGCTTGGCTGCGCGATCGGGCGTTGCGATAAGCAAAGCGCGATCCGTGTGGGTGGTGAATAAATGGTGATGGTACGTACGCGCGATTTGTTTGCGACGGGTGATTGCGTAATGTGGGGAGCTTGGATGTATGAGCTGCCCAATTCCCGTGTGAGATTTCAATGTGGAATTTCTGTTTAAGGCGACATCCTTACTTGTCCCATTACGCGAAAAAGCGGCGGCGTTGTGCCCGAAAGATTGTCGCACCAGTAACGTCATCGAGCAAGCGCCTCAGAAATAAAACACGAAGAAAAGCGCAGCAAAGCAGATCCTTAGTCACGGAAGACTGCGAGGGTGCTCAAGGTCAAAGCAGGCACGCATCGAGAAGCAAACGAGAAAAAAAAAAACACAAAGAAAAGCTAAGCAAGGCAGATGCTTCGTCACGGAAGCTGTCGTGAATCCGGCAGGGTTCGCCGCGCCTGCGGAGTGGTGGAGCCTGATGTCACCGCCGGAGCGCCGTGGGAAAAAGGAAGACGTGGCGCGCTGCCTGTAGGAATGCGCTGCGTGTAAGAATGCTTTCGCATTCCTACGCGTGAACAGTCCTAAAAAAAACCTAAAAAGAAAAATGTTTTTTTTTTTTTTTTTTTTTTTTTTACAGTACGATTAGGACACGCGTGTCAAAAAAATTAATTTTACGGGGAAACACAAATTTTTAGAGCAATATTGGTTGCTCGAGATTTTATTTAAATTCTGCGCGCAGAGTCCATGACGTCACGGAATGGTCATACAGTAGCCGCGTTCGATTTACCTACACCTCCTGCACCAATGCAGAAAAGTGTAGAGCAGTGTCCTTCCGGTATTTGTACCGAAATTCGACAGGAAGTACACCGCCCTCAACTTTTCTGCAGCGGTGCAGGAGGTGCACGTAAATCGAACGCGGCTACTCTTTCCCCCTCATCGAGAAGGTCAAACCCCCTCTCCACCTCTACGCGATGGCCAAGTCGATGAGCCGACCCACCTCTCCTCCTCCATGCGCCCGAAATGCCCAGAGAGAAAAGTGGAAAGGGGGCGACTGCCCACTAAATCGTGTCAGACGACGTCAATATTGCTCTATTTTTTTTTTTTTTTTTTTTGAGGGGCAAAAGGCGTAAATATTTCTTCTTTTTTTTTTTTTTTTTTGACACGCGTGTTTCAATTAGACTGTCTATTTTTTTTTATGAATTTCTTTAAATGTGTCTGCCGAATTTTTGTTTTTTCAGACATTTAATTTTTGATTAAACGATGCGATTCCTTTCATGTGTGTTCTTGGAAAGAGAAATCTCGATTGCCAAATATTGCATTCGAGTTTTTGTTTCTTTTTTTCTTGAGAGGGATGTTTCTTCTAGGATATCGAATAGCTTTTATTTCATATTGAATATTAGTCGGAATTTAGACATCAGATTTTTCGCAACTTTCTTGTTCCAATAAAAACAACGATGTTTTACCAATTTTATATTAAATTAAACACGTATTGAAGGACTCAGTCGGCTTATTGAAAAGCTGCGCGATTTAAAGTTCTGGAGAACAGCTTTTAACTAGCGATATGAACGACGTGTCGTTTAGTTTGTCCTTCTGTTTATACTTTCCGTAATGTTCAACTGAAACCTGCGTTCTCACTTCCAACTTTGATATTCAGTTGTGCCCCAAACTTCGTAATAACAATTAAAAAAAAATCACAGGAGTGATAGGGTGATTATCTATGAATGCAATAGCATTTATCGTTGCACACACGGGCAGGTGTTCGTTCCGTTTTAACGACCAAGGACTGCAACAAATTTTTTTTAGCACAAGGAAAAGGGGGGGGGGGGGGGGGGGGCGTACAGTTTTCTGTGACGTCAAATGTTCCGCTATATTTAGAGGGGGAACTGAATTGGTGCATAAGTCGAGACTTCAGTTCTTCCGCTAAATTTAGTGGGGAAACTGTTTCTGAGGCTTAATAATGCGATTTCATTAAAATTATCCGTAATGTTTCCTTAAGAGCGCCGACTTTTTTTTTTTTTTTAACTATGATTTTTGAGGTGAAAACAAGTATAATCGGATTACCAGCTTCGGCATTCGGTGGGACCTTCCCAATCTTCGCCGCGATTGGGTGTCTCTGTGGTCTGCTAAAAAATAAACTTCAATACTTTCTTTCTTTCTTTCTTTTTTAAGAGTGGGGGTCGGTACATTAATGGCGTGACCGCTTTCTTCTCCAAGCGACCTTCAGTTCGTCTGCTTTTGAAGTTCTGGGCTCGCCCGTTGATGCACGTCTCTTCCTGGACGTGTTTGACGTCCATTGTGTGGCATCGAAGCAATACGCGAGCGATATGCTCATCGCCTCCGAAGAATCCAGGTGTCTGCAGGATCGCGTGTTAAGGGCATATCAGTTCGCACACCAGTGCGCTTTTGTCCTATTCGTACTTGGGTGTTGGACGCTGTCAAAGCTATACTGACGCGAGCGCGGGGCTTTGTCTGCCGTCCCACACGAGCGAGACGGCTGGAAAATGAAGCGCGGAAACAGGACACGCGCTCGGGCCAGTAACATGTGGCGCGGGCAAGCCATCGCCGGTTTCACCTATTTTATTTTTCTCAGTATTGAAGGATTGTCGTGAAACCTATTGTAGTGGTGGAAAGCGCTCAGTTTTGGTACTAACCCAAGTGCTACATTTTTATGCCCGCCACTATACCTTTTTCGAAATAAGACGCGAAAAAGCTCCGAAGCCGTGTTCGCGCTAAAAGCGTCGCGCACAGTGCGGTCTGTTCCATAAAACGGGCTTGTGGCCTGTGCCCAGCGTTCGAGCATATGGAGCATGCTTCGCTCGCTCTCTGCAGCGGCGAACGTCGCGTGCGCTCTCGGTTGTCGCACGCTGAACCGCGGATTTGTGAACTTTAAAACGGTGTAGAGTCGCTACTAAACGAGATTAGCGCAACTGATGGACGGCCGGAATTCTGCCGCTCAGTAGGGAAGCGTTTCCTGCTAAACGTTCGGCTTACAGAATACGTAAACGTAGCATGCATAGAACCACTCCACCTCACATTCTCTGCTATGTCTTATCGTAATTAACCGTAAAAATCGAGCGCCCATTGATTTTTTTTCTTTCTTTTTTAAGATGCGCTTTTTTCGGGGACGCGTGCCCTGATCTTATTGCCGTCGTTTCTGTGCGCAGGATCTCTGTTGCGGCGTCACTCTGTGGAGCCCGAGCGGCGCAGAGGTTCGGTGACGCAGCAGCGGTCGCTGGACTCCCTGGACCACCACACCGCCCTCATCCACAGGCACCACGCAGCCGTGAGTCGAAAGCTCGATATACGACTACGCAGCAGGCAAACACGCTGTCGGGAAACAAGTTCGTGTTTTGCCGCACTGCGCGTGCGCAGAAACCACATTCTCGTGAAGCGTCTACGTTCGCGATGGATGAATGAGGCTGAACCCTTTGAATCGGGCGGCGGCTTGCGCCACCTTGCCGTTTTTTTTTTAAACATTTATTCAACATGGAAGTATACATCTAAAGATTTGTTGCGCTGCGCCGACAGCAGCGCCACCACAGAGGTGTGACGTCAGAGACGCTTATTGCCCGGGCGAAAAAAACCGAGCCACTGGATGGGCCGTGGACGCGTGCACGGCGTCTGATGCTCAGAGAGAACTTCTGTGCGTGCCCGGAACGCGTTTGATAGGCCCAGAAAACAAAGATGGCAGCGCACAGGAGGCGATCATTGGGGCGGTCTATACACTGCTGGATGGTTGTAATTAAGTTCTATGCTAAGAGCAGGTGGCGATATGGATAACGGGATCCCGACCTCTCTTCCGCATTGGAGCAAGATAAACAATTGGATTAAACATTAATTAGAAAAAAAAAAAGAAGAAAAACATCGGGACCCTGCTGCGAAGTATCGTACGGCAGCCGGAATGGATACGAATAATTGTTCGGAAGATTCGTAGAAGTCTGTGACAAGACGTGGAAACTCAGGAACAAGGACAACGGACAAAACCTGCAAATGCAGCGAAACTTAGCCGCGACGTTTATTGCTCACTCGCACTACGATGCAAACGTACTGCGGTCTATGACTCACGATAATATTAAGAGTTAAAAAAATATTTCAAAACGTACTATTTTTAAACGATTCGCTTATTCGACACCCATAGATTGTTTCTGGAAGTATGGTATATTCAATCATGGAGCAGAGCTGATGCAGAACTCTGTACTTGGACGACTCCTGTGTTTCCTTGGATTGTGTGGGGTTAAGCTTAGGAGAGAAATCTGTCCATCGAGAGCTTTGGTAGGGCTCTCCTTTCTGTGAGGATCGTTGTCAGCTGCGGCCACCCGCCATTTTTAAAGCGCCCGCGCGTGAGTCGACGCCGTCCAGAGGTCGCCGTCGTCCCGAGAGATGGCGCCGCCGTGGCGGCGCTGGCGCTTACGTGCACGTTGCCCTGGCGAGCGTTGCTGGTACCACGCCGCTTCGGGGGCCGAGGGTAGCGAGAAGGGCTGCTCCGCATCTCTCATCTCGCGTGGCTGCCCAGCAGTACCGCCAGTGCCCTACCATCTGCTCGCCGGCGCGCTCTTCGGGGGAAAGCGAGGAAGAAAAATCGCCGGGAAACCCCCGCTGTCGCGTTGTAGAAAAAAGCGAGCGTGAAGGCCGAAGGCGGGCCCGCATCACGTATTTCATCGACCTTGCCTCCGACCGACTGTCCGAAGTGGTACGGGTGAAACAATACAACAAAAAATACGAGCTGCAAGTGGAAAGAGAGCGGCACGCTGTTGCCAGACGACCGCGCCAGGTGCGACCGCGTGTACGGCGCGTACGAGAAGAAAAAAAAAAAATAGTAACACGCAGCTGCGGTGTGGCGGTGTTCAGTGACGCGCGTGGTGCCGGTATTCGGTGAAGCGCGTGGTGCCGTGAGGTGAAGCCGCCTCCGCCGCCCGCCCAGCCCGCCGTCACTTCAGTTTCCAGGAGCTTGACGCGTCGTACTGCCCGACCAGAACCGCATGATCTGTTGATCTGTCTCATCACCCGTGGTGACTTCTCCCGACACGGCATAGATTGGTGAGGACGAGGGGGCGAGTCCAGCGGACGGATCCCTCGGCGAGTCGGGACTTTCCACACGCGGCGTGGGTTGCTTGCCGTGCCGCCGTCTCCTGCGGTGCGTCCTTGACGCGCAAGTGGTCGTGCCGGCGCGTGTGTCGGAGGGGGGTCGGCTCGCGTGCTCGCAGACGGGATTCCAGCACGAGCGCCGCGACTGTGTTGCCTGGTTCCCCCGCTCTCGCCCAGGACCGAAGAAGGTCTTCGTTTCCGGTCGACCACCGACCGGCACGCCAGCCGCCGTCGACGCTGTGTTGGTTGGGTTCTCCTTGGGACGTCCCAGCGAGGGACCACGCTCTCCCCCGGGCAGCTTTCTGTCGGCAATCGTACCCCCTCGAAGCCGCGTTTTTCTGTTGGGCGCTGACGTCAGCCGCCGAGGGGAGCAATAAGCCACGACTCGACACGCGCCAAGAACAATCTGGTTCTCCGCTCTGCCTCGTTGCCGGCGCTGGTTCTCCCGCCTTGTGTTTGTCCCAAAAAGTGCGCTGTCCTTGTGTCCGAAGATTCTCGACAGTCCCGCCCCGTTTCACACTGTCTACGGTCCCAGGTGTCCCGTGTCTCGTGTTTGCGTGGGGAGAAACGCCTCTGGTGACGGGACGCGATCCCGGGGTAAACTCGCGTTCTGCGACATCTGGGTGTGACTTCTACTCGTGCCCACACGCACAGCGGGATTTTTGTTTTTCTTCGCCAAGCGCCGCAGAGTGCCACGGTGTCCCTCCCTTCCTCGTCGACGAAAACCCGTGTGAGCCTCGGGGGCTGTCAGCGGCGCGGCTCCGCTGCTGGGAGCACCGGAAGAGCGCCGACGAGACGAAGACGCCGGGCGACACTCGAGGAATGCCATCGCTGCAGTCGACGCGTCGACGCTGAGGCTATCGCTGCGCGTCGCCCATCTCTGCAGTCCGCGGCGTGAACGAGACACATCGACCAGATGTCGTTCCGAAGGAACACGGGCTGCGGTTCGCACGGGCCGTCCGGCAGCGGTGGCGGCGGAGCGCCCCTGAGCCCGCTGAGCCCGCGGCTTCGAGGAGTGCGGCGCAAGGCGATCGGGCTCATCCGTCGCACCCTGGGAAGCCTGTCGAACAGCTCGACGCCCGTGGGGAGTACGGAGAGTCTGCCGGACGCCGTGTTTGCGTCGTCGGGGATTCGGCCCTGGGAGAGTCTGAGCAGGCCGGGGACCCCGACGAGTCCCGGTACCCCGACCAGTGCCCCTGGTACGCCGCTATTCGAGTTGGCGTCGATGAACTTTGGCTCCACGCATCACGTCGGGCTTGTCAGGGTGAGCGATATGGGCAGACGTCGAAAGGAATCCTTGGCGCGCAATATCAGAAGCTACTGACGTGGATAGAGACGGAAATATTATTTTTCTGAATGAGTGCCGACTTAATTACTTATTGTCATAACTCACGAGTCTATGCTAAATGGTGACTCACAGGATGAGGACGGCAGAGAGGTCCTTGAGTTGTGCTGCCTCCGGCGCAAGCTTTCCTGCCTTCGATAACCCTTGTCGTGAGCTTCGAACGTCCATGTGCGGCCGAAGCACGACGGAAGGCAACTGGCGCGTGCTGGAGGTGTCCGAAGGACTGCCGTTCTCAATCTGTCAGCGGGAAATTGAATGATGTACCGCGTTATGTGCAAAACGCGTCGCGAGGGAGTGTGATAAGTTACTTTAATGAATAAAAACATAGGTTATATATATATATATATATTTTTTTTTTTTTTCAACGAGGAGTTAGGCCGACTTATTTACTTTATTTTGAGGTAATAGGTCTCTGCTACGAAATATGTATGCTGAGGTGTTTTTCAATACTCGTTTCGTTCGTGTCACTCTTTTTTTTTTTTTCTTTTTTTATCGGTTTCGCTATTTTTTGTGTTACGTTTGTTTCGGGGGTGGAGAGTGCGAGATAATGGATGTAATTTCGCGTCTGTTTTGTTACTTTTCTAAAGGAGTGATTGTACCGACTCCTTCATTACTTGTTGAGGTCATAGACAGACTTCACAGCGCAAAAATAGCACAGGCTGTTAGTATTTAGGACAAAACAGAACATACACGCCGCCCTGAACTCCCAACTCGATTTTGTATTTCTTTTTTTTTTTTTCCTCGGCGTCTATTAACCCAATACGCAAAATCGTCCGCAATTGTATATCCTTGTGGCCAGGTGAGCTAACTCGCTTATCTTGAGGCCTAACGATATGTTCGGCTTCAATGATCTCCCTGGTCGTTTGGTCACCACGCCTGCTTAGCATGGTGCAACTGTGTACGTCTACACAGCTCCTCTATACGTCTACAGAACTCTGTGGCCGCAGAGGAAAACAAAGACGAAATACAAAATAGAACTGTCAGCTCATCGCGGTGTGTATATGTTGTGTTTTGTCCTGAACGCTATTGCGTGTGCTATTTTGACCATATGGATGGTTTCGTTGAAAATCAGTCCAGATGTTTCCTCGTTGTTTTGTCTGGGATTTTTTAAAAAATCGCCCATTCCGTCGTCTAGAAATGTGAGGAAGGGTTAAAAAGGTGTCACGCGAGCAGAAAATAAATTTATACAGGATAGATAATCGGTGACAGGAGAATTCAGTACGGGCCTATTGCTTTCCACCGGGCTTTGGCTACGCGTAGAAGGGCTATCAAATTCAGAAGACGCGCGGTGGAGACGAAGCGTCTTCTGATATCTTACCCTGCCACCAACGTTGGACGCTGGCTTTGACCTGGGCAGTAACGCGATGGAGTAAAGTAGCAAGAAACGTGAGGGTGACTGTATCGCGTAAGACACGATAAGAAAGCAATCGTTCGATGACTTGTGACGTCCTGTAGCCAATTTATGGTGTTAGATATTGCTTTCAGGAAAGCAGGTGTGATTAAAGTCCTTTGATACTTCCTTTTTACAAGTAACGACAGCCGATACAAATGACAAAGCACATTGCGTTGGAACAAAATGGCGTCGTTCAGTTCAGTCTTCTGCTGTGCTCCGCCATTCGTTTCCTAAAACCTGCACCGTCACGCGGTCGACGCTTCGAAGAATGTCGCTACTTGTAGGAAGCTCTTATATAGCGACTTATGTGTAATCACAATTGAGTTTTTTTTTTTTTTTTTTTTTTTTAGCTCTTAATAGTGTGCGCAAAAAAGTTTGCCAAAGGGACCCTCTTATGATTTTCGCACTGGTTTAAAATCTACGCTTAAGTGGACTTCATCGAACGTAGAAAAGTTATCAC